GTGGGTGACTTGGATCACCCCCAAGGTAAATATATTTTGTGTAACTCAAAAATTTATTCATTATACAGGTCATACAATAATCTGTTCACAGCCAAACAAGATAAAGGTTCATGCGCAATCATGCCAGGAAATCAAAGAGGCAATCAAAGACTATATCTCATGTTTAATTACTCAATTTATTCTTTTCCAACAGACAATGAGACAGGAGAAGACTATGAGACGCAGTCCCAGCCTCGTATCACAGACCCGGGGGATTCCTCCGGTCTCTATTGGCGTCAGTCGATAAACACTGGCCGTGTCCTCACCCGTGCTGTGCTGGAGTCACAAGAGGACATCGTGAGGGCAATCAGCGGCATCAGTGAGCACCTGGACCGATTAACTAACTTTAACCATTGATGCTGTGAAAACAGGCACACATGCTCAATGCGTGTCAGGGGGACTAATATTAGGACAGTAAAAGATTTACTCACCAAGAAGCCCATCCCGCAGCGTGCCAGCTTGTAGCCTGTTCCCAACCATGCTGTTGGTCAGAATGAATGACAAGTTGTGTGTTGATCCAGGCCACCATGCAACAATGTTACATGCATATGCGCATCACAGATGATCTGTAAGATAAGATAAGAGAAGAGAAGATAAGATAAGATATGCCTTTATTTATCTCACAGTGGAGAAATTCACGGTGTTGTCAGCAGCATTACACATAGATTGTACATTGATTGAATGAAAGTGCTTCCTGTTTACATAAACAAATTCATCTTGTGATGGTGCCTTTAAAGCAATGTGTCTGCCGTCGATAGCTCCGATTACATTAGGAAAACCGGACTTCACTGCAAATTGCACTTTTATGTCATCCTGTTCAACTGCACTGTATGGGAATTTGATATATCTAGCTCAGCGGTTCCCAACCACCAGGCCGCGGACCGGTACCGGGCCATGGGTCATTTGGTAACGGGCCGCACAGAAAGAACAAAAAAATGTTATTGTTTTATTTTTGTTTTCAGCGCAGTCTACAGGGTGTTTTATTTTGAAAAATGACAAGCTCGTCTTCCCGTGACTTCCGTCTGTGCTTGTTTTCCGTACTTGACTGTCAGTTTTCACGCCCGGCTGTTAAACGAAGCCGTCAGTCTAACCGCTGCCAAAATGTATTAAAAAAAAAAAAAGTCTCCGCAGAGCTTGTTTGGAAAGTGGGAGAGACTCAATGCTGAGACAGAAGAAAAAGTAAACACATATTTAACAAGTAATTTTTTTCGTTTGTGAAACTTTTTAATAGAAAAAAACAATATTTTTTGTTATGTGTGCAGTGATCGGGCCGCAGAAAAAATTCTTGCATAAAACTAGTCCGCAGTGCAAAAAAGATTGTGGACCGCTGATCTAGCTGACATTCGGGTAGTTCCACCCCACACAGCTAGCATGGCTCGCCTCAGCTTCCACTGACACAGTCCCAATCGGTTGGCCAGCTCCCTCTGAAATGACCCTGTGCCTAGGAAGCCCAGTGTGGCCCGCACCTGTATGAGCACAGGTAGGACATGGCTCCTGGGCGTGTTGCCCTCCAAAAATGGCAGCAGGTCCGCGCACAGTCCAAAGAGGATTGCCCTCAGGAACCTAAATACTCTCAGTCTCTGAAAACCTGTTCTCTTCACACTGCTCCATTGGCAACATCCTCCA